TCTTCATTTAGTCCAAGGTTGAGGTCGCCTCCAAGAACAAGTGTGCCATCTAAGTGTTCAGAGAGTGCACTGAAAAAACCTTTTTAAAGTGCCTGTATGCATGAATAGACCAGGTGTTTGTCAAAGGGTGCAGGAAAATATGCAGCAGTAAAGCAGTTTGCAGTTTGGTTTTAATACATGTAAGTCTAGAACACCAAACTTTTTTTTAAATTATTAAAGGAGGGAGTACTCCTTTTTTATTATAAGAGTTAATGAAATACATGATAATTGTTCATAATTAAACTATTACAACAAATAGTCTGAGGTCTTGTATTCACTATAAAGGTATAATTTGAAATACACTACTTTTATTCATCACATTGCAGATGATGTGGTTCTGTTGACTTCATCAGGTGACAGCCTCCAGCTTGCACTGGAATGGTTTGCAGCCGAGTGTGAAATGGTGAGAATGAGATTCAGCACCTCCAAAACTGTGGCCATTGTCTTCAGTCGGAAAAAGGTGGAGTGCCCACTCCAGGTCAGGGAGGAGTTTCTGCTCCAAGTGGAGGAATTTAGGTATCTCGGGGTCTTGTTCACGAGTGATGCGAAAAGGGAGTAGGAGATGGAAAGATGGATTAGTGCTGCAGCTGCAGTGATGCTGATGCTGACGCTGTAGCAAAGCTCTTAATTTAGTGGTCGATCTACTTCCCTACCCTTATCTATGGTCACGAGCTGTGGGTAGTGACCGAAAGAACGAGATCGCGGATACAAGCGGCGAAAATTAGCTTCCTCCGAAGGGTGGCTGGCCTCTCCGTTAGGTTGAGGAGTTCAGCCATCCAAATCAAAAGGAGCCTGTTGAGGTGGTTCGGGCATCTGACAAGGATGCCTCCTGGGCGTCTACTGGGTGAGGTGTTTCGGGCATGTCCCACTGGGAGGAGCCCCGGGGCAGACCCAGGAGATGCTGGAGAGATTATCTCTCGGCTTGTCTGGGAATGCCTTGATGTTCCCCAAGCTGGAGGAGGTGGCCGGGGAGAGGGGGATCTGGGCTTCTCTGCTTGGGCTGCTGCCCCAAGACCCGGCCCCAGATAACCGGAAGAAGATGGATGGACTACTTTTTTCCCCCAAACACATTAAGTTTATGTACAAAGTATCTGTATCGGATCAGTATATTTAATACCAGGCTAAATATTTCTTGGTATGTCCTTAAGATTGTAAAGGAAATCACTCGTATTGAACAACACTAATCCCAATTTAATTATTTACTTATTTACTTCTTTTTGGTGTTTTGAAAAAGAAAATGTTACTCATACAAATAGTTTAAGCTTAACTGATATTGTGTCCTGACATGTGTCTTTTCTCTGTGCAGGGTGCTACACAGAGTGATGTCGACAGGCAAGCAGCAAGATAGTGGGGCGGCAACGCCTCTGTACGTATATGAATCCAAAGTCCACTGTGCCAATATGATGTTGTGCCTGGAGGATCAACGGCGGCAGGGCATCTTGTGCGATGTGACTGTACTTGTAGAGGGCAGGGAGCTACGAGCACACAGGGCTGTCCTTGCAGCTTGTAGCCACTACTTCCTGCAAACTCTGCTGAGACACAGCTGGTCACCTGGTGATGCAGAACTCATCATTAGCTTGCCAGACAAGGTAAAGGAGCACCATGACAGCACATAAGAATGGCAACATTCACTGATTTTAAAGATTTGACTCATGTCATTAGTTTAAATAAATAAATAAATGTTACAGGGGAGGTCTGGAAAAAAAACACATAACATCAGTTTGGGCTACCGTGTTGCAGTTGTTATCAGCATTCGCATAGTAAACAGAATTTTACCTCCATGCTTTTTAGCTAAATCTATCTAGAGAGATAGATCTGATTTTTTTTTATGACAAAATGTGTCTTTTGCGATCTCTATTCATTTTAAGAATTCATGGTGATGTGCGCAGAAAAGTGTAAGAGTATGTATGCATAAAGAGTTACAGCGAGAAACTCTAATCCTGTATACTTCTTTCCTCAAACAAATGATCAAAATTCTTAGAAAACTGAGCGTTTGATTAATGGTTTCAAAAGTATTGTAAGGATTTTCAGGTTTTGCATCCCATGCACCATTTACCCTTGGCCGTAACGAGTAACCCTAAATGTAGCACACAACGGACTCAATGCACACAGGGTGATCAAGTTCAACTTCAAATTTATTTATATAGCACTTTTTAAAAACAACACGTGTTGACCAAAGTACTGTACAATAAAATGGACAAAGCAGAAGACATAAAAGAAAAATAGAATAGTGTTTTAGAAGAGAATAAAATCATACAAAGAATAATGGTAACAAACTCATGATGAATCAAAAGCCAGAGAATAAAAATGGGTCTTTAGACAGATTTTAAAAGTATCCACTGTTGGGGAGGAAATGCCCGGTCTCCTCTGTGTTTTAGTCTGGACCTGGGGACAACCAAAAGCATTTGGTCTGCAGACCTCAAGGATCTTGGGGGAGAATACCAGGTTAGGAGATCAGCAAGATATGTAGGGGCTAGTCCATGCAAGGTCTTAAAAACAAGTGTTAAGATCTTAAAGTCAATTTGAAAGCTGACTGGCAGTCAGTGTAGTGATGCAAGTATAAGAGATTAATGATCTCACTTGCGTGTGCCAGTTAGGAGTCGTGCTGCCGCGTTTTGGACTAGCTACAGTTGGCCAGTTGATGAAGAGGTAACACCAAAGTAGAGGCTATTACAGAAGTTGAGGTGAGATGAAGGCATGGATCGCTTTCTCAAAATCTCTGAAACAGAGAAAGGGTTTAACTTTTGCAATTAGGCAAAGATGAAAGAAGCTGGTTTTGACTACATTATTTATCTGTTTATCAAAGGTTAAATTGCTGTCAATTTAGTTTTCTGTTATAGTTTTCTAAGGGGCCAAGGTCATAAAGGTTAGAAGGACCAAAGACAATGACCTCAGTTTTCTGTTCATTTAGATTTAGAAAATTTAGAGCCATCCATGTCTTTACATCTTTTAGACAATTAAACAGTCCCTTCAGAGGATTTACTGATTTTAATTTCAGTGGAAGGTAAATCTGAGAATCGTCTGCGCAGCAATGAAACGAAATACCGTATTTTTTAAAAAATTGATCAACAAGTCTGACTTGATGTTGGCTATGCAGACCAAGCTATGCGGTTGTATAAGGATAGAATGGCCCGTAGCAATGGGCCAGAAACCCTTATACTCCCCAAGCAGGTCACTCCGAGGGACATGGTCGAATGTCTTCTCCCGGTCCACAAAACACATATAGACTGGTTGGGCAAACTCCCATGCACACTCCAGGATCCTCGAGAGGGTAAAGAGCTGGTCCAGTGTTCCACGACCAGGGGGAAAACCGCATTTTTACTCCTGTATCCGAGGTTCAACTAATGGACGGACTCTCCTTTCCAGCACCCTATCATAGACTTTCCCAGGGAGGCTGAGGAGTGTGATCCCCCTTTAGTTGGAATACACCCTCCATTAATCGCTACCTTATCATGGTGGAGGAGTTTGTTAGGGTGTCCCAATGACAAACTGTTCCTGAGTGAGGTACCAGACAAAGAGCGATTGAAAAGACCTCTATGAGTTTACAATCAAGGGAACAGTTCACACTGCCCAGGATTGGGTTACCGGGGCCCCATCCTGGAGCCAGGCATGGGGATGGTGCCTGAGGGTGAGTGTCTGGTGACTGGGTCTTAGTCCATGGACCCTGTAGGCCCACCACCTGCAGGAGGCGCTGTAGGGGTCAGGTGTAATGTATGTCGGGCCATGTAATTGAGCATTGCGTGGCACATCCGACATACGTTTTTACTTTTGTCCATGACGCGCTTACCTTCAGGGTCATACTTCACATGAAGACCAAAATAGTTCCAAAGGCCAGATCTGAATGAGGGTGGGGGAGGTTCAATTTGCCATGTTGCAACAAGCTTAGCTCCTGTCTTGCTAGCTTGCACTGCGCTCAGTGGATCTGCGCTCGACAGTGCAGCCTAGGCGGACTGGTCGAACGCAGATCCACTGAGCGCTCAACACAGACAGCATCGTTAGAAGAAAAGTTGATCAAATAAATTACATTTTTGTATTGTTCAATACATATGCTTACCGAACCGAAAGCACTGTATCGAACGGTTCAATATCGATACGAGTATCGTTGCACCCCTAGTATTTATATATAAACATACATGTTAGCAGAGACGGGTCTTCCAGCAGAATCTGCATGAATATTGAAGATACTTATTGTCTAGACGGTGGAATAATCACACGTGGGGCATCGGCTTTTACCGGAACATTCACACCAAAAGGTGACTTTGTTTATTGAACTCTCGCGTATACTCCGCAGCATAACAGGAAGCATCCTTTCAAAATAAAATCACAACAGATGACAATGAGGGCATACCTATTAAGTAGCTCAACACCCCCCACTTGCACTCACGTTGTCAGCTTTACATGCATTCCAAAAGAAACAGTTTTTCTTTACTATTTGTTTCCACTCCAAACATATATTTCTCAAACTTCAATAACTTCCCCTTTGTTGCTGGCTTTGTCATAACATCGGCCACCATCGGACCTGTCGAACAATATTCCAATATCAAATTTCCAGCATTAACTGTTGAGCTCACAAAATGATACTTGATATCGATATGCTTACACCTCTGTCTGTTAACAGGATTCTTTGCCAATGCAATAGTCCCTTGATTGTCCTCAAAAATCTTTGGTGGTCCCTTTTGATGCTCATACATGCTTTGCAACAGTTGTGTCAAGTACAAACATTCTTGTGTTGTTGCTGCCAAAGCTATGTACTCTGCTTCACAAGTTGACAAGGCAACAGTTGGCTGCTTCTTTGTTCGCCATGACACCAAAGTATCTTCTTCATTCAGGCTTATGCAGTAACCTGTAGTACTCCTCCTGTCAGTCACATCTGCAGCCCAGTCTGAGTCACTGTGACCTTGTACTCTCAAATCTTTGTCACTTTTCTTGTAGCACAATGTCTTGTCTTTTGATTGCTTCTCGTTAAACAATTTTTATTCGTTATCAAGAATAGCATAAAAGATAAAAACCAAACAGAAAAGAAAGAGAGACCCCCCCCCACACACACACACACACACACACACACACACAAAACATATTTTCACTCAATTACCCACAGCTATAGAATGAGAAAAAGATAAACTCCAAGAATGAATTGTCCTTTACACTTACTTCCTATTTAACTGAGAACATCTTAATCGCAACCACCCCTCCTCAACAGTTGGGACAAATCATTTGGCAAATAAGAAAGTAAAGGGACCAAACATTGAGAAAGAGATCCTCATTTCCTCCTAAAATAGCAGCAGTTCTTTCGTGAGGAATAACTTAATTCTATGTACCACAACGTCACAGAGGGAGGTTTATCCTTAACCCAATTAATGAGAATACATTTACTAGCTACCAGCAATAGTTTGTCACATAATTTGCGCTGCAAGTGATTCAATGTTACTTCTTTTGAGGCTAGGCCAAGAAGAAAATACCCGGGGTCCCTTTGAATCAGATTGTTAAAAATATTACTTAGTTCTTGAGATATGAAGCTCCAAAATCTTTTGATTAATTTACATTCCCAAAAGTAATGAAAAAAAGTGCCAGTTTCTTTTTGACATTTACTACAAA